TACTTGTATGTCAATCGGTCAAACCTTGAACCAGTAACCAAGCAAGTGGCTCAACAAACCAAACATGTGAAGCTACAAATATGAAACTATAAGCTGAAGAAAACATCAGAATAAATGACCTTGTAATCTTGCTATTCCAGTTAGTGAAGATATCCTCCTGAGGGTGAGCTGTCACTCATGAGCTAACTATCCCTAAAGTACCTCATCCAAAAAGAACAAAACAAAAAGCATCTCCAAGGCTAGATCATTGCACAGGTATGACACTAATATATTGAGTCATTAACTTGGACAGAGGATTCACGCAGAAGAACAATGTGAAGTATGCGGTTGGACCAGTAACCGGAGAGAGAGCAGGGCTCGAGATAAAGCTGTGGCAGCGTTTAAACTTGCCGGCAGCACAAAACAAAGCATGTGACATTTGTAGAATTTGGTTTTTCAAATTCTACGAATTCATTCAACAGCAACACGTCTCCTGTAACCCACTGCCAGTTCAAAGAACTGTCACAAACAAGATCTTCAGCTTCACAGCCATCGCTCAGTAACACTCGTGATCAACAACGTGACCCTGAACATCCCTGACTTTGGTTTAATGTGTTGAGCTCAAGCGGGGCTACTCAGACTGAATGTTGACCAAGAGAATGAAGCTTTAAGGATCCAGCTCTGAATGCTTATAAGAAAGCTAAGAAGGTAGAAGGAATTTGTTGTTGTTGTTAAGGGTAAGATACAGATGAATGAATGTGGACAAACGAGATACAAGTGACTTGCTGCGTTATCTTTTAGGGATCTATAGCGGACAAAATGAACGACCTAGTATTTTGTCTGACCTCAATGACTGAAAACACTTAAGACTCAAATCCATTAACATGACCATCTCAACATGACCTGGATGACTGAGAACCTCCACAGACAAACAAAAAGCTTCCCGATTGAAAGCACACACACTAAAACAACTTCCAAAAGTCTAAGAGGTAAATCTAAACAGCATGTCATTTCATCGTTTTAAGTTTGGGGGACACTAAAGGTCCCAAGAAGCTAAATTACAAGGAGAACAGAGAATCAGAAATGTCACAGTGGAGCAAAAGTTCAAAATAGTGAACTAAAAATAAATATTTTCCATCCTTAGTTACGAATAAGTCCCCAACAAATAGCTCCAAAATAGACCAACATTACAAATCATACAGGCCGCCAGAGAGACACAAAACAGGTCACTTGATTACAAAAACAGTAAACCTGATTATCAATGAGCAAACTTCAAAGGCAGCCAAGACTATCTGGAACTGAAAACAGACAAACCTGTAGTACAGACAACATTTAAAAATAGATGTAATATAAAAAGAGCCAGTTCCTCATTTAGTCACTTAGGAGCCAGAATTTGAAGAGTGCAGTTCATCTCATGGCGTTTAATAAGTAGTCAGCTGCCTCCATTGAGCGGGAGAGCGACTAGTTCATTCCCATTGAAAAGTAGTGATGAGATGTCATGGTGCATTCAAATGCACAGCAACAAGGTGCCACTGAACACTTCAAATTTGGAAAACAATTCTAGTAAAACCTATAAAGTAGACATCTTGAACGGCCATTTAGCAAATGAAATTTGTATTACAACTCTTGTAAAAAAGCACCAACAGCAAAACACAACAGAAGGGTTCAGTTCAATAACTGAACTAGCTGTGATGCTATAGTGACTAAATGTTCATGTACTCAACTCTAATCAGGATTATTTCTGCTGTCAAGTTGGGAAATTTGTCTTCAAGGCGGCCTTATTGTACGAGGTCTGAAATTTGCAGCTCAGGATTCAACCAATTCTATTTCTCTCTCTGACCTCATGCATCCACCACACTTAGAAAAAGACAAAAAACAAGAATAGCACAAACTTTTAGATTCACTTTTACCACGTCTGCAGCCATATGTTAAGTCTTATATATGGAAGTCATCAGAGCAGGAAGTCATTTATCAATCATTAAAACACAACCTCACAGTTCCAAGAACTATTCCTACGGGATTGTTAACGTAAAACTTTGCACACAAAAGGAAAGTTCTTAACTTTGTTGCAGTAAAAGAATATGAATGTCTAAAATAAGATTGTATCATAGTGTTTGGGAAAAGGGAAGTGTTTTTCCAGAACAGTATGTCCCTCCACGTTTGTGTCGATATGACGACAGACCAAAGACCTGAACGGACCGGTTCTTTCTCTCACTCACATCTCAACTATCCTCCATCTTTCACCTCCGCCCTCCATACAGGAATGTACCAGAAGAACATGCACAAGCTAACTGGGCACGTGACTGATGTCTCAATGTTTACAACAGTGTTTAAGAGAAGGAAACGTCAAGATTTTCAGTCCTGCATATCAAACATGTTTGGGGCAATCCCGGTACTCTCCAAGCATCTGGATCTTTATACCACTCACACTAACAAATCTGAGCAGATCAGCTCTGTGGTTGGGAACACACCCAAAACGGAAAGGAAGTGTGAATAAGACTTTCAATTGGCCTGATTATCCTGTAGCCTGAGCCAGGCTTGGCTTGACACAGCAACTAGCTTTAGCATTCAACCATATCTTATATTTCTGGTTTGATAGTTTCAGCTGCACAGTAGCCTATAGGAAAATAATAAAATGACTACCCTAAAGTTAGGCAGCCAAGTAAGTCAGCAAGGAGACATTCAACGCTAATGTAAGCATCTTAAGTTTGCCGTTACTGGGTCCTCAAATGTAAGTTAACAGTCCATAAATGTGTTTAAATATGCTTTCTTAATATTTTCTGATTTTTGTCAATTGCTCAACAGTCAAGAAGCAGTGGTAGCCTGATGCTAACTCTTTGTCCAACTCATTACATTTTATACATTTTTGGAAGTCCCATTGTTCAACCGAGTCCAAAGGTTTTATTTACCATTTTATTTGTTTGTTTGTATTAATTTGTTGCAGGTCAGATGAGCTCTGACTGGATAACTTTGAATTCAAAACACTAAAAACTGACCACATGCAAGCTAACTCTTGTGCTTCATTTAGAGAGCTCTAACATTGTGGATTTGACATTCAGGGCTTAAGTAGGTTAACCCAGATCTAATTATCTTGACTGGATCTGGATCAGGATCAGGATCTGGAGGAAACAATAGGATTGAAAACTCAAGACGTAGGACAGATTTGGGCCCAGGGTTTTGAAATGATCTAGTCTACAGTTATGTGATGCCTCCCCCCTGTGGATTTTATCAGGACTCCTACAATTTAAACTTTTCAGAGCAAAATTAATGAATTCAAGACAACACAATGAAGTGTTGGAAAAGTGTTCATCCAGTCCTACAGGACGAGTGCAGACAGGAACCAGGCTTAATAAACAGGTTTGATTTAACTGAACAACACCCTACAGATCACAAAACACCGTGAGAAACAGTTAATGACGCAATTTAAACATAAAAACAAAAGATTTATCACGTTTTTTATTTAACATTTTCTTTTCCATTTGTCGTTTAGTTAAACGACAAATGGAAAAGAAAACGACAAAAAGATGGCGTAGACATCGTTTTATACGACAGTCAAATGTTCTGACTACATATGAAGACAGAAAAACAAAACTTTTAATTTAAACAACCTTTAATTTTAAAATTAAAAAAAGGCCTGATTGGAACGCGCGTGCACTTAACGCCGTGCAAACGGCTGACGTCACATTTAAATTAACGTCAACTCGACCATTTTAACGTTTTTTAAAAAACAGAACTCACCTGTATTAATACCAGTTAGGCGTCCTGTCCGACTGGGAACCAGCAGCTGAACTGGGGGGGAAACTCTGTCCACCGGTGTTTTAACGGCCTCGATCTGCTACAACCGCGTCCGCGTGCCACTGACTACACCTGCACAGGTGTTCTGAAGGTACAGGTGCATCATGGGAACATCTTCCTCTTCTTCCTTTTTTTTTTTTTTTTTAATCACGCCTAGATTTTGTCTTTTAGATTTGATTAACAAACAAACACACAACAGATTAAGATTTAAAGGGGAAGTAACTTAATTATTTTCTGTTGAATTGTATTTAATTATTTTTAGTATTTTGCATTTGTTATGTTCTTCTGTGTTTGGCTTAGTTTGCTTTGTTCTTATTTTTGCTGTTTGTCAAAGCACTTTGTAAACCTGTGTTTTTAAAAGGTGCTATATAAATAAAGTTATTATTATTATTATTATTATTATTATTATTATTATTATTATTATTAAGGTGAGTGCAAATTAACCAGGAATGACCACATTAAAGGTGCACTATGAAGTTTTGGTAGAAACATTTGAAAGTTGGAGAAATGTACAGATTCTGTGGTATATGTTCATAACTTTATACACAAACTGTCCTCAGAGGAACATCAGGTCCCTGGAACACTGTTTGAAGATAAAATGCTACGAGAGAAGTTATGATGGGGGGGCCGCAACAGTGAAAGCGTAACTCTCCTGGTAACTTTTTATCACGTTTGAGTGTGAAAAGTGAAATAAGGGAACATTATCCAGGCTTATATGAAGAAATTCCAAACAACCTGTTAAAATAAAGTTTTTTTTTGTTTTTTTTAACGATTTGTATTTATTATTGATTAATTTATTTGCCATAACAAATGACTATCAGATTGTGTAGTCAGTCTTCTTCAGAAACTATAATCTGTTTGAATTTAGCCTTCGGTTTGCTGTGTTTCGAGCACTTAATTAATTTTTGAAGACAAGCTTTTAATTGGTTGTCTTTATTTATGTGACGTTTAAACTAATTAGACCTCAGTTCTCTGTTCACGGTGTTGAAATATGATAAGAGATAAAATGAATAGTGTTTTGTTTCTCGTGTTTCCACAAGGACAGCATTGCATTCAAACAAAAGCTGCTGTATGTTCAGTTAACTTTTGTTTAAACAAAGAGTGTAGAAGTTATTTATCTTTTTACCACCATATATTGACCTCTACCGGCCACTAGGTGTCAGTAAAGTTAGGTTAACCTTTTTAAATTAACAGACTGTAAGAAAAAATGAGACCAGACGAATTTATCAGGACTGAACAACATTTTTTATTTTGTTTGTTTTTTATACCTCCAGAACTTTTGTACAACAGCAACATTTCCAAGACCTGAACATGACCACGCCTGTCAGTTTTCAAGGCTTTAATGAAGCACAACACAACAACAACCAAACAGGGAGGGGGGGAACATGACCTCTTCACCTCCATGCTAAAGAAGAGCTGCAATCAATAATTTGGCAATCACATCAAGTCCGCTATAGTTCGCTTCTCATCTCACCCTATGATAAAATTATAAAACAAATCAAAAGGAATGCCGACTGTTAGTGACCCTATACGAGTCAAGCAAACTGACATGGAGAGCGAGAGGAGCGAGAGGCGGACACTGGAGGACAACAGCAGGAAGAAAGGAATTACACAACATGAAAAACACTCAAACAGTGTCTAATTATGATGGGAAGCTTTAGAAAACAGCATAAGAAGTCTGTTATGCCCAGTCTGTATTTGGAATAAAAGGAGCACTCACACATTTTGTTTATTCTTACAGAAGTCCTGAGAGGACATGCATCAGCACATTTATTACATTTTCCCTCGATAACAGATACTTTCTGATCGTTTTCTCCAGATCTCGATATTTATTTTGCACCTTCAGAGTTTCAAAGCACGAAACCAAACCACACAAAAAGACTCGTCTCACCTCATTGGTGTGTGCAGGGCATGTCATGTAGTAGACCGACCTATTGTTTTGTTTTCTAGATCGCCAGAAATCATCCCATTATCACTAGAAAACAGGCTTTGTTACCTCGCGATGACGAGATACACTAATCCGTTTTAACAAGGAAACCAGCTGTGATAATCAGAGAGCTTCAATTATCTTATCACAGGGAAATTAAGAGTTTTGGTCTCCAGAAAACTAAAGGGTTTGTTACCTCGAGATGATGAGATGAATGAATCCATTATCACAGGATCAAGAGCGCCGTTAGCCCGAGATAACGAGAAGCTTAATCCGAGTTCTCAGGGAAAGCATCATCAGTATCAGGAGGTGAAGATATTAAAGTCGAGATAACTGAACTGAACTCATTATTTCGGAGAAACCAGCTTTGAGACCTGGAGAGGAGCAAACTGGACCGTACACATCATTAGATAAATAAATCAGATGCACGAGAACATGTCCGCTCAGGGCTTCCGTACAGGTGCATAGCTTATTATTAAAACGTTGAGTGTCTGCATGTCCGGGTGTTTTTTTCTTTTTTCTATCATGCTTAATGAACCTTAATGATTCCATCGTGACTTGTTGAAGCGTTATGGGAGCTCGTCTGAAGACATGAACCAATCAGCATGTTTAAATGATCATCTCTGGATGAGCTCAAGCTTTAGTTCTGTACAAGTTCAGGATGTTCATCATATTTAGTGACGATCAGGACTTTTTTATTTTTTTTCTATGTTCCTAACAGCTCTCCTGGTCACCTTTCTGGAAATCAGCTCCTTATTGGATGATCACAAGACCTCTGCTCCCTCCCAGGTTTTTTTAATATTTACGATTATTCATACTTTTCACTTTTAAAACCACATTTTTTTAAGCCCTACAGCTGCAGAAGTTTTTAAAAATGATGTTATATTTGTTTCATTTGTAGTCAAACCCGGACTGGAAAAATCTCAACCTGTTGCCTGTCAAAGATCTCACCGGTGACTTCCTGGTTTCTGATTGATTTCTCATCTTATTTCACTCCTTTGATGTGATTTTGTCTTTTTTTTTTAGCAACATCTTATACATTGCTGGGAGTCTGTACAGCTTTCTGGACAACCTAATGTAAATATCATACAATATTGTATATCTTTTTTTAAATTATATTTATAATGTGTAAGTTGTTCTAGTTAAGAAGTTTGTTTTAAGTTGATTTTTTTTGTTTCCTGTTATGCATCAAAAACACAGACACACATTCTTTGCATGAGGAACAGTTGCAGATGCTGACATCTAGTGGAGGAAAGCATGGGTCTAAATTGACAAATTGGTTGGAGTACAGTAATTATCTGTTTATTCAGCAAACGCCATCTTTAAGTATTAAATCAGATCGAGAAGAAACCATTTCCAGAGCAGTGCAAACCCTTCATTTGACATCTGTTGTCATGAAACTAAATCCTCATTAAGAGCGAGGAGAGTGAACATGTGGGAAGTTGCTTTTTCTTGCCTCTGTTTGTTCCCAATAACCTACTTTGATTAACTCATAAACGGGATGATCACGAGTGCCTTTAACCTAAAGAACAGCAGAGGTTTAACACGTAAAATAAATGCACCGTCAACACCGCAAATCAGCATCGGTTCCAGCACAACAATGAGAGAAACAGCAGAACAACAAAAAGGGAATACAGGTGGATGACGACGAAACTGACGGCTTCTTCTCTGGTGAACAGATTTCAACAGCACGAGGGGGGAAAAGAAAAGCAGAACTTTTTGAATCACACACAGGAATCACTGTTTTTCAGAGCTGCTGATGACGTACGTGGTCTGGTTGTTTCAGGTCCGGTTGAAAAGAGCGGATTCAAACCGGGCCCCGGAGGACACACAAGGCACAGGACTCGAAAAAAAGCCAAAGTGTCACTCTCTCAAACGTCCTCCCGACCTTTATTCCTCTCCTCTTGAATCAAAGTGAACACGGCTACTCTGAAAGACGAGTCTGCTCCGATGTTTTCGACTCCCAATCACCTCGACTTTCTCCATTTAGGCTCCTTTTTTTCTGCTTGAGCTTCAAAATCTGATACCTCTTTAATCTGTCTCTGCAGTGCTTTCAAATGTTTGAGCCATGAAACAAACTCTCTGTATCCAGGAGGAGCAACAACGGTCGATTGGTCGCAAAATCTTCCCGGCGTTTGTGCAGCTTCAAAGTGACAGCTGGTTAGCTACATAAGTAGCACAAACACACCGCTCCAGGATTAATATTCCAGCATACGACAAGTGGATGAAGCTCACTTCTCATTGTGAAGAGGCCAACTCTTCTCTTTCTGGAAACATCTGAGCAACAGAAGCCTGATTCCTCTAAAATCCCCCGGACTCAATAAAGCCTGAAACACAGGCGCATAAATCTCTGCAGTGATTTTCTTCCTCCACTGTAAACAAAACAAAAAAGAGGTGCCTTTGTCTTTGTAGTCCTTGGCGTTGAGTCGAGCACCGTGCAGGGACCGTGTGTGTGGGGGGCGGGGGAGGGGAGTCAGGGCTGGGAGCTGCCCTGGCTGTCGGGGTCAGTCCCTGAGGAGCTGGTGTCTGAGTCTGAGTCGTCGTTCTTGTGGTTGTCCTCTGCCAGGCTCTTCTCTCTGATGCGCCTGTGGGTGGCGCCGAGGCGAGTCAGCAGGCCCTGGTAGTCGAAACGGCCGCGCTTCTCACCGAACGGGTCCTGGCAGAGAGAGGGAGAGGGGTTAGTGGAAACAAAAACATAAAAATACAAACCAGACAGTGTAGGCTGAAGCTTGTTATATGTAACCTTTTTTACTCAGCGTTCAATGACAGTTAACTTTTAAACTACTTGATTGATTTGAGAGGTAAGAATCAAAAAGAGTCACCTGCATGTTCTGTCCCTGCAGATGAAGTCTCTCTTTGCACACTCCCTCGTAGAAATCATAATATTCCAGGAAGGACTTTTCCATCACGCTCCTGAAAACACACACAGATGAGCAGGAATCAGCCGGTGAGAAGAATGACCACACAAGGGCGAGTAAAGAGGAGGGGGGGAAAAAATGACACCCGTTGACCCTTTCAAGCTCCTTTTCCTTTTCATTGAGTGAATTCAAACAGCTCAAATACTTTCAGGTCAATTCACTTAAGTTAGGAACCTTCATAACCAAAAACAAATAATCAATCTGACCCAGGGGTCGTTAGAAAGATGTTCTAGAAAGATAGAGAAGAAGAAAAGTAGTAAAAGAAATGTTTGTTCTCCTCACCACAGAGCCTCTGGACAGGGGACTTTTCCCTCCAACATGTCACACACTGCCACTCTCATGGTCTCATGACGGATACACTCGTTGTAGTTCTTACTGTCACCTGGATGACGTTCCTGAGAGACGCACACACACACCCACACACACAGACGGTAACATTATAGAGAGACTGTTAACAGATGTGCATTAATCAAAGCAGACAGAAGCAGACAAAGCGTACCTGTTCAAAGCCGGGCTCATTGTGGTACGGGTTCTCCGTCATCAGAGACTGGATGGAGATGAGGACAGAGGAAATACTCTGAGCTGGACTCCATGCTGGACCTGTCCACGTCCTACACACACACAAACACACACACACACACACACACTCATGAACTCCAAGTTGTGAGACGGAAACATCCCAAACATCAGAAACAGAGACTCTTAACTAGAAGAATGCCCAAACTCACCCCAGGATGCTGAGGCAGACTTTTCCATTGCGGTAAAAGTTGGGGTTGAAGCGGACCGTGTTGTGACCGGTGGTGATGAGTTTGACTCGCGGCGGGTGGATGGGATAGTCCGGAGGGCAGCGGAACAGAAAGAGGAAGAAGCCGCCCTCGTATGGCGTGTCGAACGGCCCTGTGATCAGAGCGTGGATCTGCAGAAAGTGAAAGAAGAAGATGTCAGTCACTGAAAAGTCTCTCCGTTTGTTTATAGCCATTTTCACTTATAGACTCCTGAAGATCTAAAACTCTCGTGATCTGGTGGTTCTTCTTCTGGTTATTTTTACAGTCTATGGTTCACACATGCACCTCACAGGGGGTGACTATCCCGGTCAGACAGGAGGGGCGGGGTCGTACACTGATCGCAGAGAATAAACGTCACACAGAGGTTGAAGAATACTGTGAGTAAGCTGCGTCTGCTTAGTGTGAACGCCCTCTGACACGGGCGAGCTGGCTTCTTACCTTGGTCATGTCTTGAGGATCAGGGACGACAAACATCCCTGGTGGAGGCTCCTTGTAGATGGACATGATGTCCCTGTACAGAGAGAGAGAGAGAGAGAGAGAGAGATCAAGAGGGGGACCGGATTAAATAAAAAATAAAAATATATACCAGTTTCAATACCACAGCAACAAAAAAAAGGTGTCATTTATTAATTAGAGATGCATGTATTGTTTTTTTTGTTGCTGTGGTATTGAAACTTGTATCATTTTAAGACTAAGATTAAAGATTAACTTTATCGATCCTGCAAGGAGAAATTTCTGTTTTTACACTCTGTAAGTCATGAACACACACATTGGCTGAAATAGACACACACACACACATGCACAAACAAGATCCTATGAGAGACGTCAGGGTGGCGGAGCGGCCCACAGCGGGCGCTCCTGGGCAGGGGGTTTTGGTGCCTTGCTCAAGGGAACCTCAGCAGTGCTCAGGAGGTAATCTGACACCTCTCCAGCTACCAGACCAACTTCCAGATTTGGTCCGCACCAGGACTTGACCGGTTCCCAACCCAAGCCCCTACAGACTGAGCTACTGCCGCCCCATTTTGTGTTTGAGCTCGGCATATTGTTTAAGAATGACACAATAAAATAAATCAAACTACTCTGTGTGAGTATTTTATTGTGTTTGTTTTATTGGGAGGACTTCTAGTGAAACAGTAAACAATAGTTGACTTGCAATAACCTCATGTTTAACTTTAGTTGTTGGATCTGAAGCCAGACTTTCCTCTTGGTTGTTGGTTTCCAGTAATGAACGAAACTTAATAGAAAAGTATCACTTTCGATTTTGACACTCAGGTGAGTTCAGGGCCTAACTAACCTGTAAACACACAAACAGTGACAACAACAAACAGGTAAACAAATGGTACCTCTTTATCCTCAGGATGCACTGCTGGGAAGCCTTCTCGTTGTCCCAGTCCGTGCTGAGGGTCGGGTCCCAGGATGTGGCGTGGATTTGGGACAGGAGGCCCGCTCCTGCCACCCCAGCCACCCCGGCGACCCCTAGCCCGACCCCGGGTATGGGGGATGAGGAGTGCACGTTGGGAGACAGAGGCACGGTGGCCGGTGGAGAAGAGCCGGGGGTGAAGGTGCTTCCAAACCCGGCTGCGGTGACAGCGGACATGGGGGCCACCAAGGCGGTTAGGCCACTGTGCGCGGCCGCGGCCAGAGGAGGGGAGGCCGGGCTGGAGTTGGAGTGAGCACCGCCGGCTGCTGAGTGTCCCCCCGGCAGAGAGTTCACCAAAGTCGGCAGCAGAGACGTCCCGCTGCCCTGTCCGGTGACGCCTAAACCAAGGGCACCGCCGCTGCTCTGGTCACCGAAGCTGTCCGCCATGGCTCCCGAGCTAACGAGCCGAAGTACAAGAACCGCGTCGACTAGTCGATGAGGCTAACGGTTACCTGCATTGACAGTCACCTGTGCTTGTTTTAGTCCGGATCAGAGAGCAGAGAGACGGGGAAGGAGTGAACGCAGAGGCGAGGCCACACAACAAGACATTTCTTCCCACGACATGGTGGCTACTTATCGTTAGCTTCAGTTTGAGGTTTTCTTTCCTCCCCTGAGGTTCAAAAAGTGTGAAGTCGTCCCCTGAAACGTCCCGTCGTCCCCTCGACGACTCACGAAGAAGAACACCGACTGGTTGTTACCGGTTTAATGAAATATCACGTCGACATATTTGATATTTTTAAAACCAACACTCCTCTGCTCCATTCACACACAACGCAACTTCAGGGTCCTGCTAACTGAGCTAACATCGCACATCCGGTTGAACCTTCAAAATAAAAGTCCCGTTTGACTGTTTGGGATGTTGCAATTATTCTCATTTGTAATAGAGAGATAGATACTTTATTGATCCCGAGGGGAATTCAAAGCATCCAGTAGCAGGTTACAAGACATGACATGAAACATTTGGTACAAATCAAGTCGCAAAAACCGCCCCCCCCTCCCATACATATATATAAACCTGACAAAAGATTTAAAGAATACCTCTAGATGAATCAAACTTAAACTGTGCAATTAAAAATAGACTTATACAAGAAATGTACATAACCCGTGCAGGGATAAAAATAAATATATTTGTGTAATTTAAACCTATAAACAGTTGAAGAAAAAACAATCTGTAATTAGACCTGAATATAAAAAAATAAAAAAGTATTGACATTCTGAGGTTGTGTCGTTTATATATGTACAGCAATGTTTAAAAAGCAGATAGTGCAGTTATCAAAAACAGACATTAAATAACAGGCAGTGCAAACATTAACTTAAAGGTGCTATGTAAGTAATTGAGGTGATCAACTAGAGACATATCACCCCCCTCCTCCACCTTTTCAAACAGTCCCCTCCTCCACCTTTTCAAACAGTCCTCCTCCACCTTTTCAAACAGTTCCCTCCTCCACCTTTTCAAACAGTCCCCTGTGGTCTAAATGAAACATCTGAGCTTTGATCAAAATATAACATGAATCAAGCACCAGAGGAGGTTTGTGACCCTGTATAAACCAGCTCTCTCAGAACGCTCTGTTTTGGTGTGTGTGTCTCTTTAAATGCAATGAGTTTTACAGGTATATGTCACACCTTCACTCGTGAGAATAAAAATTGCGGACCTGCTCAAAAGTTTTGCTCTAGGCTGGGGGTGGAGTCCATGGGTGGAGATACCAGGGGCAAAAAAACAAAAAAATATCATTTTTATCATATAAGTTTGTTCACCAAAGGCCCAACTATAAGGACAAGAGTTGGAAATTAGCAATAGCTATAAACTCCCTGTGCAGCACATACACTTTTATTAATAGCAGCGTCTCTGACAGGCAGGTAAAATATCTATATCAAATATTTTTTTATTTTCTAATAGATGCTCTAGTATCTGCAATGAAAACACCTCAATGAATGATTGGCCATTAAGTACAAATATTTTTATTAGTGTGAATCAGGTTTATTTACATTATTTCAAAGAGAACAGTGTTAAGAAACGGACGGAGGTCAATCTCCTCTGACACCAAGAGAAAATAAACCAACAATAAAAAAACAAAACAATGCAACAATAATTACAATTGTGTGTAAAGTTTTCTGTGCAAGAGAATAAAACAAGGAAGCAGACCGAGGTATCCCTGATGTGAGGGATAAATCAAGTCTCTAAAACAACACTGTGCAAAAAAGATGACACCCTGAAAGTTAAAGTGCGTGCATGACAAGAACTCGGAGACAAAGAGCTGGATTTTTTTCCCGCAGTTAGACACGATCACAAGGAAAAATGGTGTTCGACAGATAGACGAATACAGTGTCATAGAAAGTGCAAAAAACAAGGTAAAGAAAATGTTACACAAGCACCCAGAATGATAAACAAACACCTCCCCTGAGCGAGGGGGAAAAAAGAACGATCTCTCACACGTGTACTCGGACCGACTCACACACTCTCCCTGCCCCGTCTTCACATGAGGGAGCAGGTGCTCTCGGACGAGGTGCTCCAAATCAGCCAGCTGAGTTTGCTGTCTGTGTAGGGGGGGTAGCGCAGGGTGTTCAGTCTCTCCAGAGCCCAGCCGCGCAGCATGCAGCCTCGCCGGTGGCTGAACGTCTCAAAACTATAGTGTCCGTGGTATTGGCCACAACCACTGGCCCCTGGAAGAAGTGGGAGTGAATATGGTTCAAAGGTTAAAGATCACGTTACCCTGTTTGTTTGTTTTTTTCACCTTTCATGTTGTCAGTGTGTGAAAACTTTAGAGGAACTTTGCAGCTCAGAAACCTCCTTTATCTGATAGTGACAGTCAGTAAAACCCAACATTTCAGCTACTGTTTCTTTAAGGCCCTTCCATCAAGTGCCCACTCTTTTCTGATTGGCCAGGCTCTCTGGGGGAGCAGAACGCTGCAGGGCTGCCAGTTGGGGGAAAGTCTAATGTAGGAGGTTTTTAATGCACCTACCTATCCCTCCAAAAGGCAGCGTCGGCAGGGTCATGTGGACGATCCCGTCGTTGGAGCAGAATCCTCCACTCTTGGTATTTTCCAGCACCTTGTTCACAATCTGTGATGACAAGAATCACGATGTGATGTGGAAATGTAAAAGACGACGTGCGTCCAACCTTGAGTGTGGTGAGAGTTAGCAGAGAGGTCTTACGCTCTTACTTACGTGGGATTCGTCAGAGAAAACGTAGAGAGCGAGCGGACTCTCTTGCCGGTTGATGAAACTGATGCCTTCCTGCAGAGAGTCCACGGTCAGGATGGGCAGGATGGGGCCGAAGATCTCCTCCTTCATCAGAGCGTCGTCTTCGGTCACATCCGTCACCACAGTGGGAGCTGACGGGACACACACGTCCATATTATTTATACTGGCATTAGGGTTGTTGCTAGGTAAAAAAACAAATGATGTCAACTCCTGTTTCAACACCATGGCAACAAAAATATATACCCTAGACCAGTGCTTCCCAAAGTTTGGGCCGTGCCCCCCTGGTGGACTGTGCGGGTACTGCAGGTGGCCCGCGAAAACCCCTCCAATAATTTTAAAAATAAAAGAAATATCACAATAATGATGATGATTTACCTTTAAGTGATTAGTAAGGCGTGTCATGACTTTTCATGGACATAATGTTGACTAAACCTTTGTGTCTATCTTAGCATAATATCATGTTGTAATGTTAATAATTTACCCTTACTGAAAGTTATAGCTGTAGTCATTAAAAAAAAATGTATAATGGGCCCCGGAGTAATTTTGTATTTCAAAGTTTGGGAATGGCTGATCTAGACACTCAAAATTGGGAAAGTCCTCATTTTCAATAAGCAACCTGTTTACAGTGCTGGTACAGAAGAAGTCAAACAACATCACACACACCAAACATTGTGACTTCCTGTTTCTTAACCCCACCCATGTACTTGTCCTCCTCTCTGCTCTCTCCTCCGATAACGACTTTGCCATCAGTCTTCCCGAGCAGTTCCACCAGTCGAGTCCAGTGTCGGGGGGACACGATGCGGCTAAGGTCCGGACAGCTCTTAGGGTCCTTGCCGTAGAAGTCCTCCAGAGTCTGCCGGATCACGGGCAGCAGGGCGTCCCGGATGGCTGGCGAGCAGAGGACATAATCCGGAGCGACACAGCTCTGACCGGCATTAAAAAACTTGGACCACACTAACCGGCGAGCGGCCGCCGGGATGTCAATGCGACCGTATATCAAGCAGGGACACTTTCCGCCCAGCTCCAACGTCACTGGCGTTAAGTGGACGGAGGCCGCCTGCAGGATGCTGCGCGCCACAGTTTGAGAACCTGAGAGACAAAGCTGAGGGATGAGTATTTGAAGTGAGCGTCTGAGATGTGTGCAGTAAGACAACAGCTGTATCAATCAATCAATTAAACTTTATTCATAAAGCACCTTTCAGACAAATTAAATTGCAGTTCGAAGTGCTTTAAAAGAGTGCAGAAAAGTTATTGACGACAAAGTGTGTGTCGTCTGTGTAGTTATAATCTGATAATAATTTTGGCACATCCACTCATTGATGTGTCCAGTGCTCTACCTAGATCCATGGTCACCTGGCGACATTGTAATAAATATCTGTGTGTCGTCTGCGTAGTTAATGATCACTTTTTTTTCTATAATCTGAGCTAGTGGGAGCATGTAGATGATAAACAGAAGAGGCCCCAGGATGGAGCCTTGGGGAACTCTATGTGTAATGTTTTTGTCGGCTCAGATTTGAAGTTACCTATAGACACTAAAATCATTGAGAGACTAATGCACACCAATAAGAATATAAAAAAAGATGTATAAAAATGAAAAAAATAAAATATGACACATAAAAGCAATAAGATATTAAAATTAATACATAGGAGAAGAATATTTAAATTTGTAGTAGGATAAAAAAGACAATACAATAATGTTAAGATTTGAATTAATATATAAAAACCAGACTGAATAAATAAGTTTTAAGACTGCGTTTAAAAATCTCAATATTCTCGGCTCCTCTCAGACACTCAGGAAGGAAGTTCCACAGTCTAGGAACAACCTTCCTGACAAAGGGTCTGTCTAAAGGAAAAGTATGCACATAGGTGAATGAGAAACCCTGAATCGGGCCGGGGTCTGATCCCTCACCTGTGTAGAAGATGTGGTCAAAGCGGTTCTGCAGAAGTGACTTGGTCTCCTCCGCTCCTCCTCGAACGACAGCGTAACAGTCCTGCAAGAACAAGAGTCTCTCTCCTCAAGTCCAGCTCTAGTCTGTAACCTCTACATTTTATTTATTGATTTACTTTCGTTAGGAAATCTTTGGGGACAGATGCCTTACCTGAGACAAATACTTGGGGATGAGCTCTGCTATCAGACTGTCGGTGGCAGCGCTGACCTCTGAAGGCTTGATGACCACACAGTTTCCTTATTGAAGACAAACAGCATCCAGTCAGTGACGACGGCAATTAAAGATTTGATGCAATAACTTCCCTTTTTTTTTTTTTTTTTTTTTTAAAGCAGTGTCACACCTGCTTAGCTCCTCAACCACCAAAACGTCACATCTGTCTCATTTCCAGCTCAACATTAAGGGAGTTGGACTTCCCACATCGGGAATTTGATTTCTGCTAGATTCATATTCAGCATGTCGTACACTAAAAGGCTTTTCATTTAAAGGCTTTCTATGTGATTTTTCACACTTAAATGTAGAAATCAAGTATCTCCTCTGAAAATAACTCTGTGAGTCATGACTGTCTACAATGGGTGTAACACCCGAGTCCCACTGTCTGTGATGTTTTCAGAGTTTTCAGAGTCCTATCTTCAGTTTGTTTACATCGCCAGGACGG